TCTCCCTCTCCCACTCCCCCTGCTTGTGTTCCCTCTCTCTATGTGTCTCTCTCTGTCAAATAAATAAATAAATAAAATCTTTTAAAAAATGAGTTTATAAAAACAAAACACCTCTTATTCTCCATTGGGTTGTCAACCTGAAGAAAACAACCAGAACCTGAAACTGCTTTGGATAAAAAATGAGATGCTTCTTTCCCATTTCTCTGTCACCCTCCTTAGTCTATAGTCCCACTGCCCTACTCACCCCTGCTTTTAATTGCCTAATCTATTCTCTCAGCCTAGCTGAGCTAGGTTTTGTCATAGCTCAGCTGGCCTAACCTAGGGTGCTTGTGGAAATGAAGGTAAGTTTTCTCTTTTTAAATATTTTTTGGTGTTCATTAAACCTAACACAGTCATTTCGAGTATTTATTTATCATGCCATTTAGATGTATAATCACATGCCTTTTGCTATACCTTTCTAAGGGAGTGAATTTCATATTTTTTTATGCATTGTAGAAATTTTGATTCATGTGAAACACAGTTCCACGGGAAATCAAGTTGTTGTTTCTTTCTCTCTCCTGCACAAATAGAAAGATGTTCCAGTAAAGCAAAGTGATTATGGTATAGAGAGTGTGCTCTTAACCCCTGTCCCCTGACCCCAAGCAAAGTAAGTTTCCAGTCTTATCCACCCACTTTTGGAGATAATACTTTGTGGCAGTTGGAAGGAATTTCTACTCCCTGTGTATGAGCAAAACCATCTGGTTTAGTTGGTTTGGGCAGGTTTTAGAAATTTATTAACAAACTAATGCATATTCGGGTATCTTATAGTTATGCGGGTTATGTTGCTCCTGGGGGGAATAACAAATTCATGTTCTATGAAGAGTCTACCAAAAAGCAACAACAAAAAATAAAAAGAAAACAACTAAGTAGGTTCAAAATCATGAAGAGCCAAAGTCCACCTTGTGAAGATGTGTGCCTTTAGAGATACCCAAATACAGATTTTTTCCCCATACGCTCCCATTCCCTGTCCCCTCAAAGGGAACAATCTGTTAATATCTGAGCGTCATCTTCCTCCAAGCAATCAGCAATGATTTCTCTCCCAAAGAATGCTTTTCTCCTAACTTTTCACTTTGATTTTACTATTAGTTCTGGCTTCTTAAAGAAATAGGCCTCCCACAGGGTTACTGTAGGATAGGTCAAGAAAATAAATCTTGTATTTTTCATCTGTGATGACTCCTTCCTATCCATGTCTGTCAGAAAATTAGATCATCTTTGGTGAGGCAAGTCTTAACTAAGAGATGATGCCAAATGAGTTTGCAGTGAGACTAGGTCAAGAATGGGAATTTGGGTGGTATCGCCCAAAAGATTCATTAAAGGTTCTTTTGAATACAATTGAATACTCACTTCTACAGACCTCTGCATCCCGGAAATCTTCAACTGTGATTTTGCCTCTTTACTCTGGTCACAGAGGTCATTACTTGGGAAATTCAGCTATAGGGTGTCAGATAAGTTTTTAGCTTCCTGTATTTAGATCAAACAGTGATGATCTAAGCAACCTAAAGGGAATCAAATGTTGATTTCTTTTTGTGTGTGTGATCAATATTTACTAGTTAAGCTATAAAAGGAAGCATGCCTCTGTTAGATACATCCAGTATGTACCTAATCACAGATCACATTTCTCCTAGCTACAAAAAAGAAAAAGGACAATGGAGGAAAATTAATGGCTCTGAGGTTTTTTAAAAATTTTTTAAAAATTAAAGTCCTATCAGTTCCATTTTAAATTCCAACAACAACAACAAAAAGTTTCTCCTCCTTGTCTGATCCTTATCTTTACATTCATTGTTTAACTGATGCTGCTTCACTGGCTCTGTGCTTGAATCGGCCAGAGAAGTCTTCCTTAGACTAAATCCTCCTTCTTTGAAAACCAGATGGTTTGTATGTTTTAACTTTCAGCTTGTATCTACATCTTGTATTACTTATCAATCCGGTTTTACGCTTAGGCTACAAATTAGATTTGTTCTTGCCCTCTGTTTGCCTACATTTCCAGCTGAGTTTAAACATCACTTTCTCTCTGGTAGGGATGCATTGACCTTTTGGCTTGATTAAAGATAAATGCCATTGACTCTCCACTTTTGGAGGCTGAAACTTTTTCGGAAGCTCACTGGGATTTCTGTATTTATTGCTTGAAAATGAATATTGGATAATATTCATTTCCCTACCATTTTAATGAGACGGGTATGGATTTTTTTTTTTCTCTTCTCCTGGCAGAGTCACGAGGATTATTGGGGTTGGAGACAGCAACTGTAGCCAAGCAGAAGGGCATGAGGGTGTTCAGGTCTTTTTTCCCACATGTTTGGTTGTAGACTATCACATCCTGAAGTTTTAGAGTCAAAAGGATAGTTAAATATTTTTCTTTGAATTTGACACAGGAAAATTCCAAGTCCCTGCAAAACGTCGGCAGCATTTAAAACACACTGGGCTGATTGCAAATCTTGTTTTACACCGATGACTAATATGACACCAATATGGCCATGTCGCTAACTGTCACCATGTTGGTGTTAGTATTTCTCCCTCTTACTTTGTCCCCGATCATAAAAATTAAGTGATGTGCAAACACTGCCTAAAGAACAGATGCTACCTATAGATGTTTGAATAGCCTGTCTTTCTAACAATATAGCCTATGTTTCCTACGTCTTTCCTTACTTTCCCCTTTCTTATTGAAGCATTTGCATGTAGAATAAAGAGGATAAGAACACACACACACACACAAAAACAACAGCAGATTTGTTTCTTCTGAGAACATCTGTTCTTGCTTCAAAGCACCCACATGATGTGGCCCATTTTCTCTCAATGCCTGCACGGTTTGCTGTTGTAAAGTTGAGTGTTAACATCAATCTTAGACCCGAATTTAATGAGATAATGAACAATGCTATCTAATGAGGTGAGATGTAGGAAAAATTCTGTTACAATGTATATGCTTTAGATAATAGTAAGACAGGCATACTCACAAAGAACAGCTAAAATTGAATATAAAATGGTTTATCATAGAATTTTTTTTACCTTCAGATTCATTGATCTCATGGCATCATACCCAATTTGGGGTACATTTGGTCCACTTTAAGTTTCTTCATTGATTTCTTAGGATTCTTGTGAATTTGCATTGTACTTGGGATATAGGTACATTCTGAAAAAAAAATACAAATGATCTATTGTATACATATTAATTAAAAGAAACCTTTTTACTTTGAAAATCTTTATTTTTAAGAAGAAAATTTCCCCAAACTTCAATGCTATCATTATTCTTTTTTAAAAGGATTTATTTATTTTAGAGAGAGAGTGAGCCGGGGGAGGGGCAGAGGGAGAGAGAAAAATCCTGAAGCAGACTCCCTGCTGAGTGTGCTGAGTGCAGAGCTTAATGGGGCTCAGGGCTGGACCCAGGACCCTGACATTATGACCTGAGCCAAAAATCAAGAGTTGGCTGCTTAACTGACTGAGCCACCCAGGCACCCCATCATTACTCTTATAAAGAGCATTTAGTAGCAACACTAATAATTCAGAATTAAAGGGTACAGTTTAAAATTACCTAGTTTAGAAGATATTTACCCAAGTGATACTATTTTTTTAAAATTTTCTTCCCTAAATTTATACAATACTGTTTTGGAGTCTTGGAGGCAGAAGAGGGGGTGGAGTGGCTAGTGAAATCTATATAATAGAGCTTTCAAAATTAGATAAAAATGCATTGACCTTACTTGATGGTTTCCAAAGAAATAAATACCTATGTAGACAACAGTTGTTCAACAAGTGCTCATTAAAGCCCCTACTGTGTTCCTATATGTTGGATCCAAGTGTATTCTGAAATATTTCAGATGCATAATATCATAGGAATATATTGGCCAGTTATATATTTTATCTTTTTTTCCCAAGTTGTTTCCAGAGATAGGGCTTTCTACATAGTTTTTGACTAATCCAGGAAGACTCACACGGGGTCTTTCTGCATGGGCTCAGCTATCCACATAGTGAACTTGGAACTTGGCCTAAGTTCTCTGGTTCTATGCAATCTTCTTTGTCTTTTAAATTTACATCTCAGTTTAGTGCTGAGCAAAACATGACATTTTCCCCCCATTACTAACCAAATTCTTTTAATGCCTCAGTGTTTATCTTGCCACGTCTGCACCTAAATACTATAATTCCTCGTTGAACCTGATTTTTCTTAGGGTACACCTGAACATCCTCTTGAGCATTTTGATCATGGATCTTTTGAGACAACTTGGTTTATTCCTTTATCTGGTGGCACCTTCTCCTGAACATTCTTTTGACCTAAAAGCGTTTGATTTTGGCATTTTACATTATTTCATTTTTTAGATCTTTAGATCTTTTTGGAGGATGATGAACAATAAGTCTGGGGCCCCTCACATTCCCTTCAGGAGCATTACATGGGGTAATCATGGGGGTTAGACCTCAACATTATTATTATGATGATTACTGTTGTGATTTCTATGGTTGCTGAATTCTGATAGGACCATGGGTTAATGGCAATATCAAGTTAAGAGTATATATTACAGAACTCTTTTCTCATCCAATAGATGTATACTCTCCAAAAGCCAGACTGGTGTATTAAGCCTGAGTGACCAAATGATTCTAAAAATGAATGATGAATTTCCTATATCTTCAAGAAATTCATCTGAAATCTAAGACTTTGGAAAACAAAATGATGGCTGACTACTGTTTCTTATAATTACTGCTCTTGGCATTTTAGAACTTTCTCTCTGTAGACAAAGGAGGGCACTTATTTCTTTCACTGCTTTGCCAATGTCCATATGAGTTGAGACTTTTGCATTTGGACACAATTGTGGAACATCCTGTTGGGGCAGTGAAACTGGGATGGGCTTTGGTGGTGGGGCGTGTATATGATTCCTTGAATGCTACTGGGTTCTGTGCGTCAGTGTGGCTTTGACAGTTCTGATACCATAATCGCTGCTTTCAGAATTGATTCTAACTTTGGCACTTACCATCGTCCTTAGGCAAAGGACCTGAGACCCTGTATGCGGGGCAGAAGCTCAATGACAATGAATGGCACACCGTCCGGGTGGTGCGGAGAGGAAAAAGCCTTAAGTTAACCGTGGATGATGATGTGGCTGAGGGTGAGTACAGCTCTATGTAGGGAAATGTGTCTCTCTTTGCTCCTGTCACCCTCTGGGTCATTCAGCGAGCAAAAGGTTTTTTGAAACATGTTTATTTTGCTTAACAGAAGTCATGTGACATGTTCTCGTTGACAAGCTCAGGTAAGGCTAAGAAGGTCTTCTTTAGTTTCATAATCCCTTTTCATTGATCTGTATTATAAAATTTACCCATTACTGTCATTGTATGTTGATGGGTCTCTCTCCTGAGGCATAGAGTAGATGGAGAGTAGATGTAGAGTTCTGTAGCTCCTTTATTATTCCTTTATTCAAAAATCACTTATCAATCATCTTCCCAATGACCAGTTTCTTCCTTCAATAAATGACTTACTCTCTAGGGGAGGGAGATGGGTAAACCAGAAATTCAGAGCATTACAGGTAAAAGTAAGTACTGAGATCACTACAGGCTACTTAGAAGGGGCTGAGTAATTATTCATTTATTTCATCATTTATTTAATTGTTATGAATAGAGTACCTACCCTGTACTGAGTACTGCTTTAGAAGGCACTGAGAATAGGGAAGTGAACAAATAGGCCAGTCCTTGGCTTGGTGTTATTCACATTCTAGGAGGGCAACGGATGAATGAACGGATAGATCCATATGTAAAGGAACATTCAGAGCTTTCATTATAAGCAATAGGTATTTCTTGAGAGCCTGTTACATATCAGCAGTGTGCTAAGGATGTAAAAGATAAGAAGGAAGCACAAGAGATTATCTGTTTCCTCAAATAATTAACCAATCTAGTGGATTAGATAGGACCCAGGCATTTGAAAATAAGACAAAAAGTATGTAATGAGATTCTAGCATGGATGGGTAAGATTATCATTGTCATGTCAGAAGAGAAAATTATCATTTTGGGTTGGAGGAACCAGGAGTGGCTTATGAAGGTAGCTTTTTGGCCACAATTTAATGGGTAATTTAATGAGGTCTAAGGTGGAAGAGAGAGGGCAACTTCCATGTTGTTTCCAAATAAGTCTATACTCTAACATTCCAGAGCAGTGCACTTCTGTTAGGCAGAACTCTTGTCCATATGGGAGAAGAAAACTTGGGGGCAGCATGGAGTATTATGTAGAATGCTGTTGATGTCAGGACATCTGGGCCCTGACTCGAATTCTCTGCCAGATGTTGGGGAGAATGCTCTGCCAGATGTTGAAAAAGTCACTTACCATGTCTGGTCTTTGTCAGTTGAAGTCAGTGGTGTAAACTCTCTAGATTCTTCTGTGAATAAGACAATCAAGTTAGAGTCAGGATCCCTGGGATTTAATACAGTCATTGTAACTAAAATACTTTTTGCCATTGGGACAGATATGATAAAACTTTTTTCCTCATTTCCTCATTTTTAAATCTGAAATCCTATTACTGCTGAGGCCCTCTCCAGCTTAAAGGTTCTGCAATTTGGGGTCCTATAATTTAATTTTATATTCATGAGCCTGAACTTCTATCATTCTGGAGTCTGGAATTATAGAGAGCCATGTATATATGCGTGTAGGTAGGAATGTGCGTGTGTGTGTGTGTGTGTGTGTGTGTGTGTCTGTAGATAAGAAGAGTCTATAGATAGAGGAAGAGCAGGAGACATATATCCAGTGCCCAGTAGGCATTAGATACTGGGATAGCCATCTTACATGTATCAGCTCCTTAAATCTGTAATTCCCCATTGCCTTGAAAGATAAGTGTTCTTATTTTACTTAAGAGGACATGGCACTTAGAAAGAGCTGTGTAATTAAGCTCCAAATCCATGTCTGTGTGATGTCACCAAATCAGGCTACTTGCTGGAATTCACAATCCATCATAAGAAAATGATTTGTATTATGATATGGGAAAAATACAAGGGGATGCATTAGGGTAATGTGAGGAGTACATTTTAGTGAAGACTACAACACTCATCCCTCTCCCATCAAAAATGAAGGCTTAATAAGTATCCAAAACCCACCGGTTGTATGTACATAGACACCATAATAAGTATCCAAAACCATAGAACCATAGAACCATAATAAGTATCCAAAACCCACCGGTTGTATGTACATAGACACCTTCGTAGTGAGAGGTAAGGTTACTCTTCTGCATGTCTGAAGGGTAACTTAGCTTTACTTAATGAACGTGAGCAAAGAGATGTAAAAATGGTTATATGGTTTAGAACCCTCAGCCATCTTGAATTAATTATTCAAGAAATCCCTGTGGGCTGTTAATGCAGGCAGGAGCCTGCAGGTCTCCCACATCCCTTGCTAGCTCCTTGGGGCTGAGCCCAGCAGCCCAGTGATGCATGTTTTGAATGGCAGCCACTAGATGGCGACCTCACCCCGATCTCTGCACCGTGAATCTCTTTTATTTTCCCAGGAAATTGCATGCCCTCAAAGCTGTCGTCATAAAGAACTGCAGAACTGAGGGTACAGTAATGTGTATTGCCTCCCTTGGTCATTATTCTTTTATAGAAACTTTAGAATAAAGGTAATTATAAAGTGTGCTTTCTCTTACCGCTAATAATTAAAAAGCAGGACTACACCATTGAAGGCCCGAGTCATTCAGTAATTTGATATTTGAAATTAATGAAGCTCTTTCATTTTCAACCCTTATCCCCTACTTTACTGCTGATGGAAAAGAGCAGCCATAAGGATAAAGAAATCTGGGAGAAGAAAAGAGCTATTTTGCTTATGAGCTACAACCTTGGATTGCTTCTTACAGTGATAATGGGTTTGGGAATTTTAATTTTAGCTCACAGAAGTCATAAAATCAGGCAATGAAACTAAAATACCACACAGTCTTCAGGTTATTAAGTAGTATCTTATTGGCTTATTTAGTAATCCCTTTCATGCTGTTTAAGGTCCCCTAGAGTGTCAAATTTTCAGGTAGTTTGTAGAAATGATGCAAAGAATAGGTCACACTCATAAGAAATCAATAGCAAGGAAAGAAATGTTCCTTAGCCAGGTGGTTTTCATTTATTGTAATACAATGTATTCCTGGAAAGGTATTAAGTTCAGTTGACAGTTAATAAAGATTGATGGACTGATTGATTGAGCTGGATTTCTATTATCAAGAATAAATTAAAAGAATACTTCACTTGGGGGCACCTGGGTGGCTCAGTCGTTAAGCGTCTGCCTTTGGCTCAGGTCATGATCTCAGGGTCCTGGGATCGAGCCCCACATCGGGCTCTCTGCTCAGCGGGAAGCCTGCTTCTCCCTCTCCCACTCCCCCTGCTTGTGTTCCCTCTCTCACTGTGTCTCTCTCTGTCAAATAAATAAATAAAATCTTGAAAAAAAAAAGAATACTTCACTTGGGTTATGCTCCTCAGAACTGGGATCTGATGCTGCATGATCCACCCACTCCACCCAGAGCTTCTTGCTAGTTCAGAGATTCATCCCTCTTTTGACTCCTCTGGTTCATGCTGACTTCCTTTTCTGTCCCTTACCTTATACAGCACATACAAGCTGTAAAAAGTCATTTTCCAAGGAAAATTTTTTCCTCTTGTTAATAAAAAAACATGATGAGATGGAATTTGGAAATGTTAGGTTAAACAGAATGAAGTAGATTTCTTTATTGCAAGACTTACTGGGAGTCTTTTTTTTTTTTTTTTAAAGATTTTATTTATTTATTTGAGACAGAGAGAATGAGAGAGAGAGCACATGAGAGGGGGGAGGGTCAGAGGGAGAAGCAGACTCCCTGCCGAGCAGGGAGCCCGATGCGGGACTCAATCCTGGGACTCCAGGATCATGACCTGAGCCGAAGGCAGTCGCTTAACCAACTGAGCCACCCAGGCGCCCACTTACTGGGAGTCTTTACTATGCTGATACACATTGCTAATCATCGATAATTGCATGTGAAGTGTTCAGCAAGTTTATTTGGCTCCAGAACTACTTTTATTATTATTATTATCATCATCATCATCATCGTCATCAATATTAGAACAATTTACAGCACACACTTTTGAAAAATTTCGGTATTGTGATGAAAAGGGTATGGAAGTGGTGGTGCTGAAGGATTGTGGGCAAACTATGCATTCTTTACTGAGACTTGATAAGCCTTCATTTTCTTAACTTCCCTCCCCATGTCTGGGAGCCAAGGGAGGTCAAGTTGCCTCCTCTAAGTCTTTCCTGTTATTTCTTTGCTAAGCTTTTAGTGTTGACTAGGAACTTCATATGTAGAAATGGTGATGATCCCAACTCTGACTCCAAAGCAAATGTCTCAAATACAACCTCCTTCCTCAGATGTGAGGGATGCTTGCTGTGCTCAGGCCCCCTGCTAAACACACAGGACATACAGAAGAGGTGAGAAGTCGTTTCTACTTAAAAAGAGATTGTGTTCTCGTAAAAGAGTGACAATCAAAATACCGGAAAATTATTAACGCATTTCAGAGAAAGGAAAAAAAAAGAATGATGAATAATTAATAGCTAATAATTTAAGCACTGGGCACCGTTCTAAGTAGTTTTTATGAATTGATACTGGTAATCCTGAAAACTTCCTACCTCTTTCACAGATAGGAAACTGAGGCACAGAAAAGCTACCTAACCCAGGCAGTGCGTCCTCAAGAGCCTATATGCTCGTCTAGTATATGCCTGGTAGGAAGATACAGCTTGAACTTGGACAAATTTTCTGTAGGTTTATGTTCTTCACAGACTTTATCACTCTAAGGGCTAGTGTGTAAACTGCTGTTGACCATCAGTGAGATATGAAGTGAATGTGTGGATAGGAGTCGAGGCAACATGGCTGTTCTAGGGGATGTGCTGGATACATTACGTGTGACTTAGATGGAGTGACGTGATGGTGCTTGGCCACTGGGACAGAGTGTGAACCCATCAGAGCAACTTCAGTGGGGACATCGCACCATTTAAATTCCACCCACAATAACATAAGGAATAGGTCGAGCTTTTTCTCCGCTGTGCCATGTACAAGATGTGGGCTTTGGAAGCAAACACACCTGGGTTCAATCAGAGGGTCTACCACTTAGCACCTGTATGAACTCTGATCACATTGCTTAACCTCCCTAAGCTAAGTGTCCTCCTCTCTAAAGCAAGATAATGATACCTATTGGTTGTGATAATGGCATTTGGTGGTGGTTCTGAAGTGTCTAGCATAGTGCCTGGCACATAAACAACATTCAGTAGTCTTGCTTTTTTTTTTTTTAATCATCTTTCTCCCAAATTACTCCTCTTCCCTCTGAAATTTGAAAGCAGCTGCAGTGAAGTATGTATATGTTTGCCTCTCGAACGGAAGGGAGTTTTAGTCTATAGACAGCATTCAGGGGAGACGAGGAAAGATTCCCAGTTACTAATATTGATAGGTGATACACAGATCAATCTATCTATTTATCATCTATTTATGTTTATTTGCTTAGTTTGGCACAAGGTTCAAACTTAATTGATCTCTTTAACGTTTTCTCCAGGTGCATGCTCTTTTGGGACCCTCCATCCACAGCCAAGTGAGTTCCTTTAGTATCTAGAGAAGCAGTCCCTTTTCTAATTTGGCGCCATGTTGCCCCCCACCCCCACCCCACTGCAACTTCTAGCTGAGGCTCTGCGACTCATCCTAAATCCTTAAATCAGTCCATGTCCATGGGCTAAGCTCTCAAATTCCATTGTTAGTTTCCTTTCTCTTATCCTTCTTCCATCTCTTTTCTCTCTTGTCAACACTGTACATGATTTTCTTGCTTTATGAAATTCATTTTCCAGTGAACAGAATTTCCTAACCCCTCAACTCTGTAGGCCTGTGTATCTATAATTTCTCTAAAAGCTCCCTGTTGACTTTGAAATTGTCTCTTCAGGTTTCTTTAGGAATCCCAGGCTTCACCAAGGATCACCTCTTATCACTTCTTAATTCTCATTGCTGGTCTCCTCCTCCTTCCCCGCTCCTTCTCTTCCTTCTCCTCGTCCTCCTTCTTCTTCTTCTTTTTTTTTTTTTTAAGATTTTATTTATTTATTTGAGAGAGAGAATGAGAGAGAGAGAGCACGAGAGGGGGGAGGGTCAGAGGGAGAAGCAGACCCCCCGCCGAGCAGGGAGCCCGATGCGGGACTCGATCCCGGGACTCCAGGATCATGACCTGAGCCGAAGGCAGTCGCTTAACCAACTGAGCCACCCAGTCACCCCTTCTCCTTCTTCTTTTTTAAAATAAGAATTAGCATGGCTCGCAGCATCATCACGGTTTGGTTCCTGTGTCCCCAAGGAGATTGGCTGTGATTTCCCCTCCCCATCATTCTCCAGCTCCAGCCTCAGCCCTGTATGAACAGCTAGAGGCAAATAGACTGTGAATATTTGTTTCAGTCACCTCATTGTTCTAGATCATGTGAGTTTAGGTTATGCTAGTTTTCGTTTTCATGACCAGTCCAACTTTCAATACTAAGTAATTTTATATAGTAGCTCTCCTAGTTATTCAATTGTTAGCAGATTTATGTTACATTTTTATTTTTGTTCTGTTACAATTTTATATTTAACCAACACCATTATTTTGTTTTTGCTTATATTAAGTGAATGATTTGTCACTAGTTGTCAAAACACCACATAGAAGCTCATAAAACATAAATCTGATTTTTGTGCTTATAAACAGTTCCCTGCATCAGGTCTGAGTATGCTCCCAAAGAGATGACATTAATACTGAGCATCTGAAAGTGAAATCTGGTTGAATCTCCCAGGTACTGAAGTTTCAGGACCCTGAGAAAATAGAAATCCCTTCCTTCCATTCTCTCTCTCTTTTTTTTTTTTTTTTCTTTTCCTGCTACCTGAGTTCTACACCAATAGAGAAAAAACAAATGCAAGGCTGGTAAAAGTCAAGTATCATGTTGTTAGTGGTAACACTGGTATGGAAAAATGTGGCTAACATCTACCGAGTTTCAGAGGTGGAATTGCACACTTGAACGCTCACTAATTCAGGACTTAGGCGGGCATCTCCACTGAAGCAAGGCTTGCTCCTGTAACACCCATACTGTGGGTTGTGTGGGTTACACTGGGGGTTTCTTGGAGGCAGCTTGCTCCCCTAGGGGGAAACAGGAAGTGCCAGGGGCTGAGCTATGGAAATACAGTTTCTCTGTAGAGTTTCTTTAATCTTCCAGATTATGTCACTCCTTTTCCTCTGGAAAGATGTAACGGAGGGAGTAGAGAGAGGCTAGGTGTCTTGCTAATGGAGTTTCTTCAGTGTGGACGGAGACAACAGGAGAGGGCAGGAGGAGGGATTCTTCCTGTCCTTCCTTCAGCATTGGGGTATCAGGACACGGTTTGTTAAATTGTAATAATGTGCCTATATAAATGTTGGGTGGGCCACCTTCTACTCTGACCGTACTAATGACGTTTTCCTTGACTTTGTCATTAAAATTTCCATTCTCTTTTGTATTTATTTCAAGCCGCCTTCATGACCCCCTGCCCCAGTCATTCACTTCTAGGTAAGCCAGGTAATGAAAGGTCTACTGGTTCATTTGTAGCAGCTGGAGATCCTTTAGTTGCAAATGTCAGACCCCCATCTTAAATGCTTGAGGCACAGAAGGCAATCTGTTGCCATCTAGTTTTTAGAAGTCTGGCTTTGGCTGCTGAATTCAGACCTTCGAATGGCACCATCCTAGAGGAACTGTTTCTCTCCATTTTGTGGTTGGCTTCTGGGTTGGCTGTCTCCTCGGGCAGGCCCAATCTCTCTGGTTATCACATGGTTTCCAGCAACTCTGAGTTTTCTTCTTACCCCTTCAACAAGCCTTGTTTACAAAGAATGCCTCTCTCATAGGTGTTCTAACAAAAACTCCGGAGCTGAATATTACTCGACTTAATTACTGAGTAACTACTAAATACTCCAGCTTATGTTGCTGCTGATCCCTTGGTTCTAAGGGTGTTCCCTAGACCAGCTACATAAGCATCACCTTGGAATTTATTAGAAATGCATGGTCTCAGGCCACACCCCAGACTTTTGAATGATAAACTCTGAGGGTGGGGTGCAGGGAACGGTGTATTAAGAAGTCCTCCATGTGATTCAGAGGCGTGCTAAAGTTTGCAGACCACCTTGTTAGTCCATAGACCATACTCTATGGCTAGGGGGATAAAATAATGTTGAGTGGTCCAGCCTGCGTAGGCTGATTACTTCAAGAGCTGGGTTAGGATCAGCTTCATCCAGCCCAGATGGTTTTAAGGTAAAGTATGGAGGGTAGCATCCCAAAGGGAAATTAGAGGTGTTATCAGAAAAAGCAACAGTTGCTGGTCAGAAAAAAATTAACACATGTTCTACAATAGAATCTTTCGACAAGTACTGGGTGGTGAATTATTACATCAAGAAGTATTTGGTAGTGAATGCTTCATGCTTGTCTGTTGTATCTTTACAAGGTTTGGTGCAATCAAGACTTTTTTTCTTATAGTATGCATTCGTACCCAATTGTTTCCTGAATGGAGAAAATGAATCATTTTATCCTTTAACTTGAGCTATCCATGATCTCATATTTTCTTTTATATGATGGGACATTCTGAGCAGCTGCATGAGAGCATGGGCCACAGGGTATATAACTCAGCCTCAGCCGGGAATCCGTCCTCTGACTGAGGTCCCATCGGCTGTCTACTGTATTGGGCATTTTGTTTCCTGGAACTAAATATTTTGTGTGGAAACCTAAAAGGTATAGTAAGTGTGCTGTGACAAAATGTGATGACTTACGTGAATCTCCTCTGTGACGTTGATAGGTACGATGGTGGGGGACCATACCCGCTTGGAATTCCACAATATCGAGACCGGAATCATGACAGAGAAACGTTACATCTCCGTTGTCCCATCCAGTTTCATTGGCCACTTGCAGAGCCTCATGTTCAATGGCCTGCTCTACATTGACCTGTGCAAAAATGGCGACATCGATTACTGCGAACTGAAGGCTCGTTTTGGACTGAGGAACATTATCGCTGACCCCGTCACCTTCAAGACCAAGAGCAGCTACCTGAGCCTGGCCACCCTCCAGGCCTACACCTCCATGCACCTCTTCTTCCAGTTCAAGACCACCTCAGCGGATGGCTTCATTCTCTTCAACAGTGGTGACGGCAATGACTTCATTGCAGTTGAATTGGTCAAGGGGTAAGTGGAAGAGATCACATCATTTATACCAGGTATCTCAGCTCAAGCCCGACATAAAATACGGACATGAAAACAAAGTGTCCATTCTGCTCCCACCCTCTATTCCCACTACCTGCTCTCATCCTCGTTGATTAAAAACAACCTATGTAATGGTTAGGGCTGGAAGGAAGAGCAGTTCATTAGTTTATCTAAAGGTCTTCCACTAACTCAATACTATCAGACTTTTTACTATGAAATATAGTCCTTTAAACCTATAGGAAAGAAGGTCATTTCTGCGAAAGGAGCATGGAGTGTATATCCTATATACAATGCTCTGAGACAGTGCTCTCTGCAACCACCAAATCTATAGGAAGAAATGAAATACAGATATTTGCCGCACTGCCATTAGCCCATATATGTGCCGTTTTAAATGCTCTTCTTTCTGCAAGGTATTTTACTACCATGTGTTGGAAAATAGTCAAAACAAAAACAAAAGCTGGAATAAAACCCAAAACACAGATCCACAATCGACTGAATTTAAATGCTGCCCCCTAGTGTTTGGGGATGTACCACCTGTTCTACTTGGTGGCTCTGGATTTTTAGATCATGGTAAAGAAGTGAACCTTGTAAGTGTGCAATTAAAGTGAAGTCTGACAGAACAGGCTGTGACTCTTCTTAGAACCCCAGGTCAAGCCTTAATTATTCCTGCATGAGGCCAGGTTAGCACAGGGGATGCGAAGCCCTCAGGGTCACTTCTATGCACGTTGCCATTCAACCACTCGAGGGAATCTCCACTCATCAGGTGGTTGTTGTTGCTCACAGGTACATACACTACGTGTTTGACCTTGGGAATGGTCCCAACGTGATCAAAGGCAACAGTGACCGCCCCCTGAATGACAACCAGTGGCACAACGTTGTCATCACCCGGGACAACAGTAACACCCATAGCTTGAAAGTGGACACGAAAGTGGTCACTCAAGTTATCAATGGGGCCAAAAATCTGGATTTGAAAGGTAAACCTTATAAAGAAGTTTATCCTTTTTAGAGCATTTCTTGTTTTTTGTTTTTTTAAGATTTATTTATTTGAGAGAGAGAGAGCGAGAGTGCTCAAGGGCAGGGAAGAACAGAGGGAGAGAACCTCAAGCAGACTCCCTGCAGAGCGTGGAGTCCGACACCAAGCTCGATCTCATGACCCTGAGGTCATGACCCTGAGATCACGAACTGAGCCGAAACCAAGAGTCGGACATTTAACCGACTGAGCCTCTCAGGCACCTTTAGAGCATTTCTTATAATCGAAGCGCTGTTTGCAGAGGCAAACTACAGGTTAGGAGTGCCAGGCATTTTTGAGACATCATGCATATCCTATTTTAACACCATTAAATGATACTAAAATGCAGTTTTACTTAAACCGATCCTCAAGGGATGGTTCATTTTCTCTGTAAACCTCAGGCATGCGGGGGCTGAGTGTGAGGTGATAAATGTCAAAATGCGGAGGTGTCCTAATACAGAGGACAACTGGTACAATTTCTTAGCCTTGTTCAGCTTCTCTATACTTTTTTTGCAAAATGAGGATAATAATTGTTACCACCTTTATGGGCTGTTATGAGTTTTGATGGGATAATGTCTATAAAATCCTCCTCCTATTATTGGTCACAAGCCCATAACAAGCATTCGGTAAGTGGTGGTTTTGTGGGAAATCTTGTTAATCTTTACTTCATCATAAAATGGGAACAGTACCTACCTCATGGACTGAATATGGTGATTAAAATTTGTGAACTGGCATGGAGAAAATGAGTGACATAAGCAATGTTAGTTTCTTCTTTCTACACTGTGGAGACTCTGTAATTAGTTGCTTATGCCATCTCCAGTCCCCCTCCCCCCACGCCAGCTCTAGCACCATTACCTACGAAATCGTCTAATGTGCATCGGCTCTAGCTGAGTCTGCTTTCCCTACCCTTTACTCATCTGCTCTTGCTACTCACTTTCCTTTGCAGGTGACCTCTACATGGCGGGTCTGGCCCAAGGCATGTACAGCAACCTTCCAAAGCTGGTGGCTTCCCGGGATGGCTTTCAGGGCTGTCTGGCATCAGTGGATTTGAACGGGCGCCTGCCAGACCTCATCAACGATGCCCTCCATCGGAGTGGACAGATCGAGCGTGGCTGTGAAGGTACAGCCTTTTTCCTTTTTAAGCCACAGCCTGGACGCAACCACCAAGCCTCTTTGCTGCCTCTGCCAGCGCCACCTTACTGTTCACCAGTCCTCTCTCCTTCCCATTTGCCGTCCGACATTGCGTCATCTTTGGGGTCCTCCTGTCCCTGGCTCAGTATGTCAAGACATGGGCCACAGGCTCTGGGAATGTATGTTGGCGGGTGTCTTCCCTGTGCTACTACTTGCCAGTGGAGGACCTTCCCTGGCATTGACATCAGACTCTTCCTGACTTGTACCTTTGTTTCCAGCATGGCTGAAAGGGCAGTAAGGGGTTTTATTTATATTTTTATACGTTGGGAGGTATACCAGAGACTTTTATGTAGCTGTCACCATTAATGAAATGTTTCTAATAACTACTGCATTGTTCAGTGCAAACTCAGCAGGAGGTAGGAAAATGATGTCAGAATGCCATGATGAGGGAAGGGAACTGACATTTATTGAGTACTTACTAGATGTCAGGCCTTCTTAGGCAGTTCGTTAGTGTGATGTTGATGAGATCTGGGACAGCATGGGAGTTGATGGTAGAAAGACTTGGATTTAGATCCAGGTAGTAACTCTTGTTCGCTCTGTGACATTTGGCAAGTTACTTAACCTCTCTGAGCTCTATCCTCCTCACCTGCAAAGTGGGGCAATAAAATTTGCCTTGGAAGGTGAGCGATGTAAATCAGAGCTGTATGTAAAATGCCTGGTGCAGACATAGTAGGTACTCGATAAACAGTAAGATTATCCTTTACAAATGTGATCTCGTGTGAGACCTCTAATAACATTGCATGCCCCATCAATGCAACACAACAAACCACGCTCAGCCTGTTCCTGTAGGTGATCTATTGTCTCTTAAGATATTAAGTGAATTTTATAGGTCTTCTTGAGTCCAGTTCTTTACAACAAAAACAATCTAGTTTAACCAGCAGAGGTTAGCAGTGAACAGTTTTCAGGCTTTCCCAGGGGCCTTGGGTAGGCCAAAAAGGTGACGCTTACCTAGCTTCAAGGTCAAAGATGTCTGACCAGTCAGCAGGACCTATGTGTTCTTTTGTCCGGTTGAGCCTCACGGCCCTGTGTGTGATATACGTGTTGTGTTTTTTCTATCTCATTGATTTACCGCATCAAACGCGTTCACTCATCTCCTAAGTATTTAGCTTCACATATCTCTCCTTAACCAGCTTTCACCTGAGTTCGCTTGCCACATTTTTATAAAGGCTTCCTGTCAGCTTCACAAGCTGATGTGCAGTATGGAAGTCATTACCCTTTGCCTAAGGGTCAGCTTCCCACGTGGACTAGTAATAAGACTGGTTGTTCCCATGACCCACTCCGGTTTGCCTTTAGACAGGAATATTTCTTATATCCGGTGGGCCAAATCGGGTCTGTGTACGTGGGAGGACAGGGAGTTGGAAATCACCATGCGCTTAAAGTAGCCACTTTGCTTTCTTCTCCTGAAAATGCACTATGTCATTCAAATCAAGAATTTTTGTCTCCTTGGCTTGCTCTTACTTCTTTCAGGCTTTAAGGGCAATGCTGAGATAAACGTAACATTTGGGAATTAAATCGAATATCTCTGTTTCAAAGATTGTGGAATGACAGAAATTCCAGTTATCCTTCAATAATTAATCAGATTGAGTTAAAACATAAGACATAAAAGCACACGTTAAAAAGCATAAAGTACTCTTCAGATGTTAAATATTCTTATCATGTCATCCGTTCTTCAGATTTACAGGTTAATAGGAATCATCCATTTAATTCTATAGCAATGTTGCTTGATAGAAATATAATGTGAGTCACATAAGTAATTTTAAATTTCCTAGTATACTAGCTACATGTAAAAAAGATATAAAGTAACAGGTAAAATTAATTTTAATTTTACATTTCACTTAACCCAGTATATCCAAAATATTATCATTTCAGCATGCAATGATACAAAATTATTATTAAAACATTGCACATTCTTCTCTCACATTAAGCCTTCAGAACCGAGTGTGTATTTTGTACTTACAGCGCATCTCAATCCAGACTACATACCTTTCCAGTGCTCAGTAGCTATCCGTGTCTGTGGCCTACCGTATCAGAAGCAGAGTTCGGCAGAGGATTAAAAGTTGGGGTGTAAGGAGATAGCACTGTTGTATTGGATTGAAAGGAAGTCTAAACCAACTTTTAGAAGAGTGGATTAAAAGGTAGAGTATAAAAGTGGGTGGGGGAATGGAGTCCACTTAAGAGAACTTGAAGAGAAGCAGTGAGAGCATTAGCACAAGGAAATTACCCATCAAATTGGGGAAAATGGTCCCATCCCTACTTCCATCTCTGTGTGCAGCTTGGCATGACTCATCACCTGCATTATAGTGGGGTCCGACCTTCCTCTGAGTATGGGTGATTGTTCAGCACCGGATATTGTGACTTGATGCTTCTACCGTCCGAATCTATGGCGAGTCCCATGAGCCTAATAACCCTGCACTCTATTGCCATGGAGATAATTGTGATGATTACCCATGGAGCATTATGACCGCCCCACTGGGTGGGATGAATGGAGGATGAGTGAGGAGGGAAGAAGGTCCTTGTTTATTGTACACAGATGACTTGGATAATTAGCCTAAGTGGCCAGGAAAAATGGCCAGAAAGTGGGTTAAGGCATAAATTACTGTCATTGGAAGTTTACACCATGTGAATAAGCCCTTATAAGAGATCCCAGGAGCCTTTTAGGGCACTGTGGAAACGAAGCCAAAGTAGATGGCGAGGAGGGAAATGAGGAGCACAGAACCTTAGAGAGACTGCAAACCTTAGAGAGTCCTTTTCATTCTGAATCTCTGTACATAGTATGGAACCCTCAAGAAGGCCTTTGAGTATTATGCAGGATGGAAATCCCAGGAAATAGAATACATTTCCTGATTTATCATTTCTATGTATAGAATAATGTACAGGGGATGAGGATTCGTTACTAAAAACTAAGAGCTGCATCCCTTCGACATGGTAAATGCGTTCTATTCTCACTATCTGGGGTACACAGGCCAGGATGTATCCTATGTTCTTGTCAAAGTCATTGATGATGATATTTCAGGATCTCTAAGTAGTAAATGTACTACTTTCCCTCTCTTATCTAACTGTGAAGGGTCCAAAATTATTTTAAAAACAAATTAACCTACGGCTCTGGCTCCCAATTGTTTTATACTAAGAAAGAAAAAAAAAATCTCGAACCATGTTTTAATTTTTATGCAGAGTATAATACTTCAGAAATTAAGCACAATTTCTGGACAATCTAGCCAACATCTAGCCGTGACTTACAGCCTCTCCGTTTGGGCTAGGAATTCTGAAATGATGTCTGGTTCTATTCTCAGCTGGTAAATATCTCTTTCTATCTTGAGGCCAGCTTGGCTGCAGAGACCAAGGCATGGGTTGGCTGGAAAAGTGATTCCACAATTGCAGATTGTAAACATCTGAGAGAAACACACGTGCTTCATTTTGAGACTGGCATGAATAAATAAAAAGGACATCGGTTTGGTGCCTTTTTGCTTGCAGCCATTTGGATTTGGCTGTATTCTTACCCATCAAACAAATTGAGCTCTTTGGAGTTCCCAAATCACCTTGATACACAGGCCCAGTTCGAGCGCCACATTCCCTGGTGGCATTTTCAGGAGATTACAAGGAGTGCTCCCAAGTGACTCTTCCATCTTTAACTCCTAGATGTGCAGAATTATATTTTTGTGGGCTTGGTCTGGTTGTGCACACGTGTCTTTCAGTCTGGCCATGCGCTACCCTTATTTCTTGATGCTTATCCTGACTCGTGGAGAATCATTTTCCTGGACCATATGCCTTGGGTTGGCTGTGTGGTTGTGGGAAGGCTCTTGTTATCCCTGCTTGTGCTTTGTCAGTCCAGTGTTCTCCTGCCCCCGCTCTGCTGACGTGGCTCTGAGGAGACCTGCTCCACCTGGGTCCCTGCATCCCCCATCTGTGCTGTCTCTGGAGAACCTGTAGAGCATTTTAACTGTCTGTTTGAATGATGGTGGTTATGCCAATTGTTATTTTCATTTCTGTAACGTCACCCTGGTTGACTCTACCTCTTACTAACCTCTGGTTATTGTTTTCGCCTTTTCTGTTCTTTTGCTAACAAAGTTGCATTGACCAAAGCTGACCTGCAAGGTAGAGAAGGTTCTTGCTCCCATTACCACTTTGGACTGAAAGATACCCTGTGTCACTCTTGGTATCTTTTCTTTAAGGGCCTTCAAGCTGTCACACCTCTTGGACAGCATCGGTTTAGGGGAGGGGGCTGAACCCTTGTTCTTCAGAAACAGTGGTGGGAAACCCAGATCAGTGAATGCAAAATAACAAACGCTAAGACCTTTGAGGGATGAGACCATGATTCCAATTTTGGGGGGACTAAAGAGGTTTGACAGCATCCTTTACTGTGACTCCTCAGAAGCATATCAATCCACTTCTGGAAATGGTTCATACCTCTCCACATAATTGCCATGGATGGGTTGGCTCTTTTTAATTTATTCACCACAGAGGAAGGCAACACTTGGAAAGAGAAAAAGAAAAAAAAAAAAAAGGTCACTTGGGTTCTTACTTTATTATTTTCTGGGTCAGGGAGGTCATTTCTCGGGACTTTGGAGTGCTTGGGCCTTATGAATGAGAAGGCCATTTTCTCTTAACTCATTTTAGAGAAAGATTTTTAGGCATTTGGGAGATATTAATGTCATTAAAACGTTCTAGAGATTTATGTTTCCTATCGGGGATTTTAGTTGAGCACTTTAATTTCCTGTTTTGTGATCTAAAGGAAAAAGTACTCTTGGGGAAGAAGAGGATCTGTCAGTTTTATCCTGAATACCCTTTAAAATGCCTGCATGTTAGATGTTAGTGAATATCTACCACAGACACTGCTCCTTCTACCATCCAAAGAGGCACCATCCAAAGTCCGTCATGGGCCACTGGTCCTATCCTTTCAGGCTACTTGACTCAGAATAGCAAATCAGGAAG